AAAACAGCTGCTTGTTTAAGTGAAATAAATGGATGTTTTTTGCACTAGTAAAGTTGTGGAGTTGTATTTTGTTTCACATCAATTATATCATCAGTTACATCGTTATCACAAATTTTCAAATATATATCGTGATAAATATTTTGGCCATGTCGCCCTGCTCTATACATGACCCAGAGCGAGTCGCGCATTCATGCTCAGACAGCCGCCAAAGGAAAGCATCACGGTGCCGCCGGCGTACCTTTTCCCTGCCACACTGACAGCAGGCTGTTCTCGTAGCTGTGGCTGAACGGACGCTCAGCGACCGGCTCAAAGTCCCGGGTGTAAACTCGCCCGCTGGGGACGGAGTAGCAGCACTGACACATGCAGGTGTGGTAACGCAGACGCCCTTCGTCCAGGTAAGGGTGGGAGAGGGCGTCGCTGCCCGAAATCCTCTTCGCCTGAAGAGAAGAGCAGAGGAACAGTGAATAATTCTCCAGCTGACGGATTCAGGTGAGACCTTCACCTGCAGTCACATGACCAAGCAGCAGCAAACCTCACTGAGCTGAAACTTTTCTCTGATTGGTCCTTCACAGGTTCAATCTGAGTGCTGATTGGCTGCAGAGGCTCACCTGCATGCATATAAAGCCAGAGAGGGCGGAGCATGGGGCTCCCATGCTTTTAGTTTCAGGGCGAAGTCTGAACGCGACAGCGCTGTGTCGCCGCTTCCTGCTCGTCTTCCTCGTCGGGGCTCCGGCGCCTCGTCTCAGGTTTGAGTTTTCTCTCATTTGTGATGTTTAAAGTTTCTTGAAGTGCCATTTCATTTTTATGACCGTTTGAGCCACTGATTTAAGGACAGCAACACATTTAAATATAACTGCATAACTACAATAACAACATTGACCTCTTACTGGTCCATGTGACACACAGATATACACATTAGTTAGGAAGACGTCTGCTGGGTGGTAAAAGCATGTGAGTGCATTTAGTCTCACAGTTTATTAAAGAGTTTAATCAGCAGAGTTTGAATTGTCAAAAACAAACAATTTTAATTCGATGCTTTGTCAACAGAGGGCGCTGATGAGTGTAGAGGAGTACAACATGACAGGACCAAGTACTGAGCCCTGTGCAACACCCTCAAGGAAACTACCAGT